AGTTGAGTGTTGGGGAGACTATCATTTGAAGCACAAGAGCAAGGAGTTCATCATCAACACACCATTTGTTACTTCTTGGAGAGTGGTGTCTCCTAGATTGGCTAGGTGTCACTTGGGAGCCTCCGACAAATTGTGGAGTTGAACCAAGGAGTTTGTAAGGGCAAGGAGATCGCCTACTTCATGAAGATCTACCGCTAGTGAGGCAACTCCTTCGTGGGCGACGACCATGGTGGGATAGACAAGGTTGCTTCTTCGTGGACCCTTCTTGGGTGGAGCCCTCTGTGGACTCGCGCAGCAGTTACCCTTCATGGGTTGAAGTCTCCATCAACTTGGATGTACGATAGCACCACCTATCGGAACCACGACAAAAACATCCGTGTCTTCAATTGTGTTTGAATTCTCCAAACCCTTCCCTTTACATTCTTGCAAGTTGCATGCTTTACTTTTCGTTGCTCATATACTCTTGGCATGCTTGCTTGTTATGTATTGTGATTGTTAAACTTGTGCCAAAACTCCACTTAAACTCAAAGAAATTAAAAACTGCTACTTTTAGCACCTAGTGTCTACTCACCCCCCTCTAGACACCTCTTCTCGATCCTTTCACAAACTTTCTGCCATGGATGGTTCTCCTGCTTCGGATGCTGCTTTCTACCAGTCTATCATTGGTGCTCTCCAGTACCTCACTCTGACTCGACCAGAAATATACCGTGCAGTAGGTGTGTCTCCATATGCATGCTCCTCGGGACGTTCACTGGCTGCTGTCAAGCGGATTCTCCGCTATGTTTGTGGCACTATGGATCTTGGCGTGACGCTTCACGCCTCCGCCGACATCGCCCTCACCGCCTACTCCGATGCAGACTGGGCGAGCTGCCCTGACACTTGTCGCTCTACCTCGGGCTATTATATCTACCTTGGACCCTCACTCATCTCGTGGTCGTCCAAGCGGCAGCCTACGGTCTCTCGTTCCAGTGTTGAGGCTGAGTATCGTGCGGTGGCCAACGTCGTTGCCGAGTGTTCGTGGCTTCGCCAGCTGTTTCAGGAGCTCTCCTGCCCTGTTGACCATGCCATGGTGGTCTATTGCGACAACGTCTCGGTGGTCTACCTCTCCGCTAATCCGGTGCATCATCGATGGACCAAGCATATTGAGTTGGATATTCATTTTGTTCGAGAACAGGTGGACCTTGGCCATATTCGTGTTTTACACGTCCCTACTTCCCAACAATTTGTAGATATCAATGACCGAGGGCTTGCCTATGGCGTCATTTGAGGAGTTCCGGTCCGGTCTTTGCGTTAGCAGCGGTGCCGCTTCGACTGCAGGGGGTGTTGAGTATATGTGTTGTGCATATCTGTATATTGGGCCCACCTCCTGGTTCCTTGTATAGTTGAGGTCATGACCCACCTATTGTACATCATATATACGTGCCTTTGCACATGAACAATACATCGTGCAATTCATACATCATACAAAACCAACCAGGTGGCGAACCAGCAAAACACTCGGGGCTTCGCAGATACTACAAACTTGGACGCGCGAGCTGGAGTGTGCATCACCGCGACCATGTCCTGATAGGCGAGGCACCAGACTGAGCTCCGATGTCGTCCAAACTGAGGCCCAGCCAAAACCGCAAGAATCGCGCGCCAACAAGAGGCCGCACTCCACCTTCCCGAGGCCGCTTCACCTTGCCCCCCTTCCCGAGGCCGCTTCACCTTATCCCCCTTCTCCACCTTCCCGAGGCAGAGCGCACACTCCGACGTGCCGCCGCCGCCCTCTGGCTGCTCGTACGCCAGGACGTCATACGCCGTTGCCAACCGCGCGCCGCCATGCGCTGGCGTCTCCCGGGCAAGCGCGGGCATGTGACTCCGCTGTATTTGGTCCAGAGACTGCGGCAGGGTGCCGTCGCCGACGGTGCTGCCGCCGCCGCTCTGGCTCCATAGGCTGGGCCGGCAAGGCAGGCAGAGAAGCCGGCTCACGCCGCGGAGGTGATGCAGGAGCGCTCCATGAGCAGAGGCCAGGCACCGGCGCAGCGTGGACCATGGGAAGAGGATGCCACAGAAGGCCGTGTAGACGCTGGCGTCGATGCCGACCCAGAAGAGGAGGAAGACCGTGAGCACGACGATGGAACCCTTGCTGTGGGGCCTCCATGACAGGTTGACAACGCGTAGAGGATCATGGCACCACATTGAAAGGGACCAAAACAAGGCGAGCCATGCCCTGGCTCACATGGGGTGTGTGCTCCCCAAAACGGCTGTCTGGTTGGGCTGTGCGCCGGATGAGATTGTTGCTCTATGTCAATCTAAATGTAATGACTCTGGCTAAGTAATGAAATTATTTTATCCGAAAAGATAAAAATAAAAAAATGAACGGGCAAATTGAGGATGAACGAATCAATACTCTCCAGTTAGTTGGTCAGGCATCATCCGCGGCCTTCTTCTTGGCGATGGCAGTGTTGGCCATGGAGTCGATGCAGGGGAAGTAGTCGAAGCAGAGGTGAATGGGGACGGGGAAGTATCGAGAGCAGTCGCGCTGAGACGCTCCCAAAAACCTTATTGTCGTTCTCCTCGGCAGAATCTCGAACGACGGGGTTCCGGAGGCACCTGCTCTACCGAGCAACCGTGCACGTGGTCATCGAGATGGGATCGCCGGAAGCAACACAGTGAGAGGAACAGTAAATGACGGCTAGGGTTGCGCAAGGAGGGAGTGAGTGTGTCGGCTGCACTGACCAACTCCTCCAATATGTAGGTCGTCAGGTGAGGAGTCGTGGGCCTGGGCTTAGGCCCACGATTGAGTCGACGCACCCCTGGGAAGGGAGTCATCATACCCGAGAAGGGGCGCATCCCTGGGAAGGGAGTCGGTGTATCCTGGGAAGGTGGACAACCTACGATCCAACGTGGTTAGCGACTCGGTAATTAATCTGAGATGAATTAATCATTCTTGACGGGCAAAAATAAAGCGCATAGGTATGACCTCGGCTTGGCTTGTTTCCGCGCGCCGTGACGAGGCGGGCGACGATGAAGGAGAAGCGCATGTGTACCACATCTCTTTCCAACCTCCCAATAACAAGTGGTAGAGCAGGCCTTATAAAGGGGGTCTCAACTCTCCTCCATTAGCAAGGTGGTACTAAACTTCCCACACCTATCATATACCTACAGGGTCCTCAAGATTAACCAGGAATCGTTGTTCATATGGGCCCAATCTATGATTCAACAACCCCCACCAGATCTTGAGGCACATTAATTTGTCATCTGTTCCAAACAATGTTTTGATATATTAGAATTTCCAGTAGAGACTGTTAAGGCCACCTAGAGCAACCGAATTAGACTTCTTCATAACTGAATAATGGACTATGCCTTAAATTGTCAGTTTAATGCTCCTTCCTACTCTACCGCTCACCGGCCTCGAAGGAACAAATCATTTGTTCTGCAATGACAATATGGAATTCAGGGTGATGAAGAGACAACGCGAGGGGGTAAGTGGAGGGGTGTGGCGTCGCCATGCGTAGAGATCGGCGGTGTCGGATTTGGCTGCTCCCATCCTTAAATGCTCCCAAGCTCCCAACTTAAAAATATATATGATGTTTTTAACGTTCACAACGTATGTGTCTTATTCATATATTTTTAAAACATTTAAAAATATTTTTTGAAAGACGGGGGAATGTTTTTTAGCATGTTTTTTAAGCATGCTTTTTTTTTGAGAAATGTTTTTTTAAGCATGTAAGTGGTGCGTTTTTTTTTTTGAGAAAATGTAAGTGCTGCGTCGTTGTCTCCATATTACACACAGTCAGTGTGGTTGCCCACAGAAGGCCTAGCCCAGCAGGCCCTCTCGTTGCCGGCCCATTCATGAAACGCCCCCCGTTCCTCTCTCTCTCTCCTCCGACCCCTCCGCCGTCGCCTCCCAGCCTCGCCGCGGCGGCGGCGGCGGCCGGAGAGAGTATGCCAGCGAGCATTGTTCGGTCTGCAGGCGGCCGTAGAGCGTGGCAGGGAGAATGGGGTGTGACGCGGGCCTCACCTCTACGACGACCACGACCGGCCGTCCGCTTCGACGCCGGTAAGCTCGAGCTCCTCAACGACCACTTTCTCCTCCGCAGGTTCGGTTAGCCCCTCCTCTCATCTCATATACCACATCAGACTAGTTGAATCTTGGTCAACTCATAGTTTCATACGATCATACTACTGCATAAGTCTGAATCTTGGTCAACTAGTTGAATCTTGAAGAATGCCACTCCTAATCTTGGTCAATTTCCAATAGGAGTATTTCTTTCTGTAGTTGACATGTGCTGTTAGAAGTTCCTCGCTATTGCCGCAGGCGTGGAAATGAAGCTCTCTTTTCCATTAGCATACTATTTGCATTTGTAACATTCGACCATTGCAGCAAATTTTTGTGGGTTGGTTTCGGTCAATGCCGTGATCATTCAGGCCACTTCCTTGTTGACTGACCTTTTGACACTTAGCAACTTAGCATGCCATGAGGGGTATGGTTAGCACTCCCCGGCCCAGAGCTCACTGTCATAGTGGAAAATTCCAAAAATACAGCTTTCCTGTTAAGCTTGGTGGAAGCCCCACGATTGACTTGCCCATGGCCCGCGGCAGCCATTGTGGAAGCCTAATTCATGTCTGACTTGACCCAGGTCCATGGCCACCACTTAGTAGTGGTGGAAAGCATCATCTGAAGTCTACTTTGGTGTGCTAGGGAGCTTGTCAACCCTGCCGACTAGCACATAGTTTTCATGGTAATGCACTAATACTGCCTGCCTTGTATTATGCAGAGAGATAGTGGTCCCGATCTGAATTGGGCTGCTGCTGTCCTAATCTGAATTTGGTTGGTCCCAAATGGATCATAGTGAAATTCCGCATGAGACAGTCAGCTGTACATGCCTTCCTAATCGAAAATTGATTGGTCCCAGTCTAGATATACATCCTAGCGGAGCAGAGCAGAGCAAATTCACATTCACACTCTTCGAATTGGGCCACTGCTGTCCTAATCTGAACTTGGTTGGTCCCAAATGGATGGTAGTGACATTACGCGTGAGACATCAGCTGAACACATTATTGCTTCCTGTTCCAGTCTATATATACATTCACTTCTTCCTTCTTCAAATAGCAGAGCAGAGCAGAGCACATTCACACTCTTCCCCATGCCTCTCCTCTACATATTATTGCTTGGGTTTCTCCTCTCGCACACTCCTTGCTGTTGCTCTTCTGCACCTGCAAGCGATACCCTCACTGAAGGTCAAGTGCTTGCCGTTGGCGACAAGCTCGTCTCGATGAACGGCAAGTACGCACTTGGCTTCTTCCAGCCAGCAGCGAGCACCATCAGTAAGTCCCAGAACACCACCAGCTCCAGATCCAGCTCCAGCTGGTACCTTGGCATATGGTTCAATAAGATCCCGGTTTTTACTGTTGTGTGGGTTGCTAATCGGGAGGAGCCCATCCCCCATCCCAACATCAACTCAACAAAGCTCAAGTTCTCAAGTGACGGCAATCTTGTCATTGTCATAAACCATGGTGATGCCGTCACTGAATCCCTTGTTTGGTCCACTTGCATTGTCAATAGGACACAAACCAGTAGCATAAACACCACCACCTCTGGTGCCGCTGTTCTCTTGAACAGCGGAAACCTTGCCCTACTCACAAATAGCAAAGTGATGTTGTGGCAGAGCTTCGACTACCCAACAGATATCGCGCTTTCTGGCGCCAAGCTTGGCTGGAACAAGGTCACCGGTTTCAGTCGCAAGTTCATGTCAAAGAAGAGCCTCATTGATATGGGTCTCGGCTCATACAGCCTAGAACTAGACACCAGCGGCGTCGCCGTCCTCAAGCGCCGCAACAATCCCTCTGTAGTCTATTGGCATTGGGCATCCTCCAAAACATCATCACTGAGTGTTATACCAACACTCAAGACAATAATAGATTTGGATCCACGCACCAAAGGCTTGATGAACCCGATATATGTTGACAATGACCAAGAGGAGTATTACATGTACACTTCGCCGGATGAATCATCATCTTCCCTGTTTGTCTCACTAGACATCTCTGGTCAGGTCAAGCTGAATGTTTGGTCGGAAGCCAACCTTGCTTGGCAAACCATATGTGCTGAGCCTGCCGATGCTTGCACTCCAGCTGCTACCTGCGGACCTTTCACAGTCTGCAATGGCAATGCACAGCCATCCTGTGACTGTATGGAGAGCTTCTCTCAGAAGTCACCGCAGGATTGGGAGTTTGATGATCGAACAGGAGGATGCATCAGAAACACGCCTTTACATTGCAGCACCAGTGCTAACAACCAAAACATGACAAGTTCAACAGACATATTCCACCCCATTTCTCAAGTTACATTACCCTACAACCCACAAAGCATAGATGTTGCTACCACTCAGAGCAAATGTGAAGAAGCTTGTCTCAGTTCCTGCTCCTGCACTGCTTATTCTTATAACAATAGCAGATGCTCTGTCTGGCATGGTGAATTACTTAGTGTAAATCTGAATGATGGCATTGATAATAATTCTAAAGATGCCCTTTATCTTCGCCTTGCTGCGTCTGCCAAGTTTGAAAAGAGGAAGAAAAAAGCAACAAACATTAGAGTTGTAACTGCTGCAAGCATTATTGGTTTTGGATTATTGCTAATGCTCGTGCTGCTGCTACTGATTTGGAAGAACAAATTCAAGCCATTATACAACAATCAAGGTAGTGATGGTGGGATAATAGCCTTTAGATACACTGATTTAGTGCGTGCTACTAAAAACTTCTCAGAAAAGCTGGGAGGAGGTGGTTTTGGCTCTGTGTACAAAGGAGTCTTAAAGGACTCAACTAATATAGCAGTGAAAAGACTTGATGGTGCCCGTCAAGGAGAGAAGCAATTCAGGGCTGAGGTGAGCTCAGTTGGACTGATCCAACATATCAACATTGTAGAATTGATCGGTTTCTGCTGCGAAGGTGATCACAGGTTACTTGTGTATGAACACATGGTAAATGGGTCTCTTGATGGTATCCTATTTGAGAAGGGCAATGCTGCTTCTGTCCTAGATTGGAACACCAGATATCAAATAGCCCTAGGAGTTGCCAAAGGATTGTCCTACTTGCATGAGAGTTGTCACAAATGCATCATACATTGTGACATTAAGCCAGGAAACATACTCGTGGATGCATCATTTGTTCCTAAAATCGCAGACTTTGGGTTGGCTGCGTTTGTGGGGAGGGATTTTAGCCGAGTTATGACTACATTCAGAGGAACTGCTGGTTATCTTGCCCCAGAGTGGCTTAGCGGAGTTGCAATCACACCAAAAGTTGACGTTTACGGCTTCGGCATGGTACTTCTAGAAATCATATCAGGAAGGAGGAATTCCTCACTAGAAACACCATACAACACTAGAAGCAGCACCACCAGGTACCAGAATGTTGAATATTTCCCTGTGCAAGCCATCAGCAAGCTTCATGACGGAGATGTGAAGAGTTTGGTGGATCCACAGTTGCATGGTGACTTCAATTTGGAAGAGTCTGAAAGGATTTGCAAAGTTACATGCTGGTGCATCCAAGATAATGAGTTTGATCGGCCGACTATGGGTGAAGTGGTCCGGGTTCTTGACGGTCTACAGGAGATTAATATGCCCCCTATGCCAAGACTGCTTGCGTCTCTAACGGAACAGCTTGGTGCCGCAACTCCAGTGTAATATTAATCATTCATAGAGAGTGTTTCACATGCGATCGATGTTATTAATCTTTGTTTCAGCAAATTCTTGGAAATTGTAATGTGCAGCGGAAGGAATAAAGGAAGAAGGCAAGCTTTCAGTCGCTAAATCCTCTGTTATTATGTTTTTGTATGGTAAGGAAGCATTGTAGAAAAATACAGCAGAGCTTGAAATATGTGTATGCTTTGTTGATGGACTAGTTTGATGCATATCCTTGAATCCTTAAATCGAAGTTATACATATATGCCACTACCCGTTTTCATCAAGAGCAAGCATAGCTTGGTCGTGCCTCCGTGGCTCCCTTGATGATGTGGCCCTTTTTGCACGGTGCTGGCACCCGGGACCCACAGACAAGGGTCCGAGGGCAGCGAAAACAAGAACGGCGTCTTGCTGCAAGATCACCAACATGTAGTCTGCTCGGATTGAACCAATGTGTCCTACCCGCTTGGCGAAATGTGAGGCTTGCTCCAGTGCCGGCGTGGTTGCGAAGGAACATGCTCATACGAATGAGAAAAGGAATCCAGGTTTGAAGATAGGACATGATGGTATGTAATATGTTGACTACTGCTACATATAAATGCACTTGACGTGTATTGATCTTTTTCTGCTATCACCATCTTCTCTGGATGATATTATCACCTTTTGAGTTTTTTTGGAGATTATAGTGATGATAGAATTCTTCTTTCATATTCACCATATTATATAGTAATGCAATGACATTCTTTCTTTCTTTTTTTTATATTCACCATATTATATAGTAATGCAATGACATTCTTTCTTTTTTTAGTATGGTTTTGCTCGAAAGTAACTTAGCTAATAATGACGTTTTTATATGCAGCAACCTAGAAGAAACCTCCGCCACTGGACGATAATTCGTCACATAAAGTGCTCTATCTCCTTGAGTCCATGCTGCCAGAGCAATGCAGAAGCATCCTCCTACTGTAATAACTTCATATGGGCTTTTAAGCATCCCAAATCTTACAAATTTGGTAAAGGATTCCACCAGCAGCAGCAAACAAATGTTTTTTTTTCTTTCTACTGTATGCAAATGTGCTGATGTATTTATGTGCTGTGTTAAGCATTGCACTGTGCTTACACGCTCATACTAAACTGCTTAGAGAAAAAGCTGCAGCGATTCATCCTGCATAAAAACATCTAGGTGATAATTGTGGTGTTCTTTTTAGACCTGGGATTGGAACTTTGAAACTTCTAATTACAGTGCAGGGATAGGTTACTGTTAGCATGCTTAGGTATTGTTAAATAATTGTTTTCAGAATGTAGCTAATCAGGAGACTGAACAAGCTGTATAATCACCTGGTATTTTGAAATGCCTGTCTGATTCCTATATAGTCTTGGATAAACCAAATCATACTGTAAAGCCACTCGAATCTTGGTCCCTCCGTCTAGAGAGTCGCTTCCGGCGGCGAATTGCAACACCGCAAATGGCAGGCCTCCATCTCATCTCTTTCTCTATTCATGACTGGCAGGCCAACGGCTATACGACGGTGTTTCTACCTCTGGTTCTACAAGCTGAGAAATGGTTGGCTGGTGGTGGTGAGCTCTCTCTTCTCTTCTCTTCTCTTCCCACACGCTGTCCAAAATTGTATTTTCCCAACTATTGCAGGTCCAACTCATCTTGAAAAAAGATTGTTTATTCCTTGCTGTTCTATTTGTTGCCATATTTCCTGTTCTGACAATAGAGGAGCAGCCTGTTCTCTAGATACTCTGCTTTTAGATATATCGATGTATGCTGTATTTCCTTTATCCTGAACTTGTCAATGCTATACAGAAGATTTTGCCTGTTAGGTGCTTTCTTTCTGACCTTCTGTAGATTAACCTTTCGCACTTACAGGTTCACCGAGGGGAAGATTTGACTCTTCACAGTAGGCATGTGATCTAATGAGAGGGCTTGATGAATCTTATGTCTGGGTTGGAGCATGGTCCAAGAGCCTAGGATGGTGCCATTGCTTGTGTAGGTATAAGTTAAATATCAGTCCTGAAGAGTTGGGCCTGGCACTCTGATATTGCCACCACTACCACCATTCCTTTTTCTTTTCTTGACTGAAATACCACAGGGGAAGCCCCTGGAGTGTGATTTTTTATAGATAAAAAACGGTGTACATGATTTACATGTCCTTGGGTAAAAAATAAAATAAATGAAAAGAAGGTTTAAACAAGGGACTCAAACAAAAAGAGGAAGCAACCAGTCTAACAGGGGTTGAACTAGAGAAGGCGACTTGAAATCGATGAAGCTGTAGATCACCCTGAAACTTCTGTAGCTCATATGTGTTTTAAGTTTGCCAACTGCAGCTCACAGCATTTGTTTTATTTCTGTGGTCATACTTTTGTTTGTCTTTCTAAGGAGCTTCTGTATATACGTGGAATTTGTATTTGTAGAATATAACCCTCATATAAGTGAGGTGTTTTTTCTTTCTGGTTTAGGCTAATACCATGGTCGTTCAGGCGATTGCGTTGTTGGCTGACCAGTGAACACTGACGGACAAGCAGCATGCCATGAGGGTTCTTGACATATATACTTCCAGTTGTAGCAATGGACTGGATGAGATATAGAAGGAAGCTCCCTTGCTGTTACTTATGTAGGATTTGCCGACATTGCCAAATTACATCTAGCATTATATTGATGATTTTTCTCCCTCAAAAACAGAGCGGTACTGCTCTGTGTGTTGCCATTTCCCCTATTCTGCCAGCCCGCCATGCTCATTGAAGCCATTGCCATGAGGGTTGATGAATGGTAAGTATGGTCCACTGAAAGTCCTCGTAGATAAGCTATGGTCCACTGAAAGTATGGTCCTATTCTGCTAGCTAGGGACGGTTTCAAAGCTTATCTAGGCATAAGTTGAAATTTCAGTACCAACTTTAGCTTACAACATTATCGTATTTTTGTGGTACTCCCCTGATCCATACTACTTGTCGCTCAAATGGATGTATCTAGCATACATCCATTTGAGCGACAAGTAGTACTTTTCTGGGGAGGGAGTAGTACTTTTCTGGGGAGGGAGTTTTTGTTGATCTTCTGTGTTGATATGCCTTGAATTTGCATTTGTAGTGTTCGACTATGCATTGAAGAAAATACTCCCTCCGTTCCAGAATATAAGGTGTATTGGTTTTCGTGCAAGTCAACCATTTGAATGTTTGACCAAGATTGTAGAATAAAATAACAATATCTGCAATGCCTAATAGATAAAATATGAAACTACTTTTCATGATGGATCAAATGATATAAATTTCATATTGTGGATATTGATATATTTTTCTAAAAAATCGGTCAAACATGCACATGTTTGACTTATGAAAAAACAAATACACCTTATATAAAGGAACGGAGATAATATTTTGTTGGTTGGTTAGTAAAAGTGTTTCGAAAAGTTCTATTCGAAGATAGCCCTCCCCTCTAATATGTGAGGTACCTTTTCTGGTTTAGGTTAATATTAATACGAAGGTTGGTGAAAGCCTCGTGATTGACCTGACCATGGTCCATTGAAAGTCCTGCCTTGCAATTATGGTAGTACGGCCTTGTATTTATGGTACCACAGTTTTGTATTTATGGTACCACTGTTGTGTATTTATGCTTATTCTGTCCCAGTGTGAACTTACTTGACTTCCCCGTCAGCTTCAGTCTGCTGAACACTTGGCCTTCCATTCTATATATGCACCTACTCTTCTTCTCTAAATTATTCACACTTTTTCAGCATGCCTCCCCTCTACATACTACTCGGGCTTCTCCTCTTGCACACTGCTCCTTGGTGCTCCTCTGCAGCTGCCACTGAAGACACTCTCACAGCAGGCCACGCGCTCGGTGTTGGTGACAAGCTCATCTCAAGAAACGGCAAGTTCGCCCTTGGCTTCTTCCAGCCAGCAGCAAGCAGCATCAGTAAGTCGTCCCGCAATGCCACCTCCCCCAGCTCCAGCTGGTACCTTGGCATATGGTTCAATAAGATCCCAGTTTTCACTACCGTGTGGGTTGCTAATAGAGAGGAGCCCATCACCCACCCCAATCTCAACCTGACACAGCTCAAGATCTCAAGCGATGGCAATCTTGTCATCATAAACCATGCCGCCAAAACTGAATCCATTGTTTGGTCCACTCACATTGTCAATAGGAAAACCAGTAGCATAAACACCACCGCCTCTATTGCCGTTGTTCTCTTGAACAGTGGTAACCTTGCCCTACTCGCAAATAGCCAAGACATGTTGTGGCAGAGCTTCGACTACCCAATAGATGTTGCGCTTCCTGGTGCCAAGTTAGGCCGGAACAAGGTCCCTGGTTTCATTCGTCAGTACATATCAAAGAAAAGCCTCATTGATCTGGGTCTAGGGTCATACAGCATTGAACTAGACAGCACCGGGATCGTCCTCAAGCATCGCAACCCCTCGGTAGTGTACTGGCATTGGGCATCCTCCAGAACATCATCGTTGAATCTTGTGCAATTAATCAAGACCACGTTAGATTTGGATCCCCGGACAAAAGGTTTGATTAACCCAACATATGTTGACAACGACCAAGAGGAGTACTACATGTACACTTTGCCGGATGAATCATCATCTTCTGTGTTTGTCTCACTAGATATCTCTGGTCAGATAAAGGTGAATGTTTGGTCACAAGCCAGCCAGTCTTGGCAAAGCATATATTCTGAGCCTGCCGATCCCTGCACTCCGCCTGCTACTTGCGGACCTTTCACGGTCTGCAACGGCATTGCACATCTATCATGTGACTGTATGGAGAGTTTCTCCCAGAAGTCACCGCAGGATTTGGAGTTTGAGGATCGAACAGGAGGATGCATCAGAAACACACCGTTACATTGCAGCACTAGTGGTAACAACAAAAACATGACAAATTCAACAGACATATTCCACCCCATTGCTCAAGTTGCACTGCCCTACAACCCGCAAATTATAGATGTTGCTACTAAAAGTAAATGTGAAGAAGCATGTCTTGGTTCCTGCTCCTGCACTGCCTATTCCTATAGCAATAGCAGATGCTCTGTCTGGCATGGGGAATTGTTTAGTGTAAATCTTAATGATGGCATTGATAATAATTCTGAAGATGTTCTTTATCTTCGCCTTGCTGCCAAAGATTTGCTACCAGGTTCCAGAAATAACAAAAGAAAACCAAAGGTCGGAGTTACTATTGCAAGTATTATTGGTTTTGGGTTAATAATGGTCATGCTGTTGTTACTGATTTGGAGGTACAAATTCAAGTGCTGTGGTTTGCCTATATACGACAATCCAGGTAGTGCTGGTGGAATCGTAGCCTTCAGATACACTGACTTGGTTCGTGCTACTAAAAGCTTCTCAGAAAAGCTTGGAGGAGGTGGTTTTGGTTCTGTATACAAGGGGGTGTTAAGTGACTCAACGACTACTATAGCAGTGTAAAGGCTCGATGGTGCCCGTCAAGGAGAGAAGCAATTCAGGGCCGAGGTGAGCTCAATTGGACTGATCCAACACATAAACCTAGTCAAATTGATTGGTTTCTGCTGCGAAGGTGATCACAGATTACTTGTGTATGAACACATGTTAAATGGGTCTCTTGATGGTCATCTATTTAAGAAGAGCAATGCAAATGTTGTCGTCCTGAATTGGAACATCAGATGTCAGATATCCCTAGGAGTTGCTAGAGGATTGTGCTACTTGCACCAGGGTTGTCGTGAGTGCATCATACACTATGATATTAAGCCAGAGAACATACTTCTGGATGCATCATTTGTTCCTAAAGTTGCTGACTTTGGGTTGGCAGCGTTTGTGGGAAGGGATTTCAGCCGAATTCTGACTTCATTCAGAGGAACTGTGGGTTATCTTGCCCCAGAGTGGCTTACTGGAGTGGCGATCACACCGAAAGTCGATGTTTACGGCTTCGGCATGGTGCTATTGGAAATCATATCAGGAAGGGCATGGTGCTATTGGAAATCATATCAGGAAGGAGGAATTCCTCACCTGACAGCAGCATCAACAGTAACCAGAATATCGAATACTTCCCTGTGCAAGCCATAAGCAAGCTTCACAGTGGAGATTTGAAGAGTTTGGTGGATCCACGGGTACATGGTGACTTCAACTTGGAAGAGGCTGAAAGGATTTGCAAAGTTGCATGTTGGTGCATCCAAGATAATGAGTTGGATCGGCCGACCATGGGTGAAGTAGTCCGGGTTCTCGAGGGTCTACAGGAGATTGATGTGCCCCCAATGCCAAGACTGCTTGCAGCTATAACGGAATAATCTGGTGTTGCAACTTCAATGTAATATAATACTTGTACTGAACATAGTACTAGTCTTTTAATTTCAGCAATTTTCTTAAAAGTTGTAACGTGGAGAGAAAGGAATAAAGGAAGGCAAGCTTGCAGTTGCTAATTAGTTGTCTCTTATTTAGGCGTGCAATTATCTATACTCCCTCCGTCCCAAAATATAAGAGCATTTTGGACACTACACTGGTGTCAAAAACGCTCTTATATTATGGGACGGAGGGAGTATATGGTAAGAAAGATATGGCAGAGATATAAATATGTGTATGGTTTGCTCTTTTCAGAGCAAGGATGGGAACTTCGGAATTTTTAATTGCAGCAGAATAGGTTAGTCTTAGCATGCTTAGGCAAGAAGCCAGCTATGGTTTAAATAATTGTTTTCAAACTGCAGCAGTTTCTGCAGTTCTGCAAGTAGGAAGATGTCAGATCTGAAAGTTGTGGGTGGATTTGATCTAGAGACTACATCGGCCTGTTATTTCCCAATTTGTGTGTGATTTGTATGGTCCTGGCCAAGTCAATCATGGCATCTGGGATTTCAATGTTGCGCTTGCCCATTGTGGGGTGCCACCTGAGAACCTTTGGAGACTCTGAAAATAATGCAAATGCTTTTCTGTGACCTTAGTAGTATAATCATGATCATGAACAAGTTAACAATCTTCACGCAGCATGTTTACCTCTTCTTTGTGCAGTTTCTTAGGTTTTTTCAACGTAGGTGGCGAGTGAGGATCATGATTGAAATGACACCAGTAGAATATGTAGGTGTTTTTTTCCTATGCAGCCAAATCTGGTTTATGTGAATATATTGTGTGTCTCATTATTCATGTAGAATATGGGAGAGGATATCCCCTTTCCCAAGAACTGATGACTTGAAATATGAAGTATTACTAAATTTACTCTACTTCACTAACTTGCAAGGTTATTTGTTTCATTTCTCATAGAACAGAAATTTCTTGTGCAGATCATCTTTGGGTGTGTAATTATGGGCTGTTATGTATTCACTTATTCTATTTTTTTTATATATATTTCAGGCACATATGGTGCACTCTGACCATGATGTTAACTTTTTTGCTCTTAATAAGCAGGTTTATATAGGTGCTATCTATTCAGTTGAATGAGGAAGCTGCTACCTTGGACTGGGCAAAGTCAGGGGCCACAAAATCTTTGATTCCCATGAAGATGAATTTTTTCGGGAACCGGACACCTGATGCCGTTATTGGTCACAAGCTCACTAGCAAGTGCCTCTGTTGTTGGAGGGCTGCTGCTTATCAGCGTCTTTGAATGCATCGCCGGGAGAATTCCAAGAGTTCCCATGATAGAGTTGTTACGTCTTCGAAAGAGGGGTGTATTGTGCAAGGCATAGAAATTGAACCTGAATGCTAAGGTGATGCCATACCAGAATGCCAAGGTGAAGCCATACCAGAATGCCATGCCTGTGGGTGTATCACGAAGAGCCTGATCCTGGTGATGGTGCTGATGATCTAGTCCCGAAACCTGGAGACAGGATGGAACTGAAGACAGAGTTGTGGCCATGTGCTTTTGTATGTTCAGTCAGGTAGTGCTTTGTATCCCTACTATTTCTGTTCATCTACTATGATTTTAATAGTTGTTTTGGGTTTTTATGCACATTATATATTTTATTTTATTTAAGCACTAAAGAATGCAATAAGAAGAGAAAAATTTCAGGCCAAAAGTAAACACCAAAATGACAGTTTTCTCCGTGCGAGGCCTTCTAGTCTACTCCCTCTGTTCCAAAATATAAGTCTTTGTAGAGATTTCATTATGAACCACATATGGATGTATGTAGATGCATTTTAGAGTATAGATTCATTCATTTTGCTCCGTATGTGGTCCATAGTGGAATCTTTCCAAAGACTTATATTTAGGAACGGAGGGAGTAGTAAAGAAAATACTACACGGTAAGCTGAACCGGCAGTAGTTCAGCAATCCCGGCCCATTTGCTGCTGCTTATGCGGACTCCACTCTATCTAAGTAGGGCTTCCCTGATGTTGCAGCCGTCGAGCTCGCCGGCATCTTAATACCACCGTGGCACCTGGCGACATCCCAGCCACAGCTCTCGAGTGTCTGTTCATCGCACTAAATTTCTCCGAACGACCAACCTTTATCTCTGAACTAAGGTTTGGGAGGTGTGTCAGAGGCTAAAATTCGTCAGTTTGTTGGCGTGATTCTTAGGAACCCACAATTATCTGTGAAGTGCATTTCAAACTGCGATGGTCGACTCTGGCTTGTGAAAATATCCTCCTTTTTTTGGGGAAAAATAATTGTGAGAATATGTAAACTAATGTTATAAGAAGATCATCCATTTCCCAAACTATAGCCACCTTTGTGGAACTCCAGACCAATCTTGAAGGCTGGATCTACATTTTTTGGAAGGAACCATCAATGTCGTTTCTGTGTTCAGCTACCTTTATCAATAAATTTGATTAAAATTTAACTTTAAAAGGATCAAATACGCCCTATGTATATTATGAGATGGAGGAAGCATTTGTTTGCTGTATAAACAAACACATTAAGCGCGGGATCAACATTCAGCAATGGTCGATCAAAGCACAGTACATATGTTTATTAAAGCTAATATTACAAAAGAGCAAACAACGTTTGAGACGCCATAGAAGCGAGCTAAGATCACTACGACAAATGGCCATTTTGCAAAAGAAGACACGCCATAGGTGCGATGCTTGTCGAAGTTGTTGTCGATCTGTTTGGTGACTAGGGAGGCTGCTTCAGACCAAACCAGCATGCAGCCGTCGTATTTGCCTGGAAATCTCCAAGCTCCTTATGCAGAACTCCGAGCACGTCATTTTACCGGTTTTCGTCCCGTTATATATATAAAAACGATACAGACGCATACCACCACAACACACGCATATACCCAAGACAGGATAGAGAAGCGCTGAGCGCAGCAACACCACTCCTAGCACTACAAGAGCAACCGGATGATTCAACCGTGAACACACCACCACGAAGAGATGAAGCCGCATACGACGAACTGTGGGCTTCAAGGCGGCGCCTTCAAGAAAAATACTACACGGGTGCGCCGCCACCACCCGATCCGAAGAAGGGAACGAGCTTCGCCGCCGCCGGTCCGTCCGAAGATGGAATAGGTTTTCACCCCGGCCAACACACACCGCCACCGAACGTCACACCCCGGTGACCACGCTGCCCACATGGCCATGGCCACCGGGCAACATCGATCCACGTCTCTGCCCATGAGCACCGCACTACCACCACCAGGGCCGCCATCCCGGCATCCAAGACCTTGACACCACCTCACCCGAGACCTGCCGCTACCCCAACCAAAGAGACAAGTGGTAAGGCCCGCCTTTCGCACCCCTGTGCGGCCCCCAGCGTTGAGAGCCAATAGGCTGGCCTAAACTGCCCTCCATCGACCCGTCCTGCAGCCCCGGGCAAGAGACGGGCTCGGTCCCATTGCCGGGCTCGAGACGAGCTCGGTCCTGCTGCACCAGACGCGAGATGAGCGATGGACCACGGCTCGGAGAGGGCCAACTCTTTGACAAAAGATATCCACTTGTGGCTTTCATCTCATTAGCATCAGATATCCAATTCAAAATCACTATAAGCCTCAAGTACCATCGGGAACCAGTATAGTGAATTTCATAGTTCATAGTACCTTGCAAATAATGCATGACTCACCCAACGGCATGTCAATGCACATCTCCTGCATTGGAGAAAAAGCGGCTCAGTTTGCACACAACAAATGAGATGTCTGGCCAAGTAACACAAGCTAGGTACTCCCTCATTCCATGTATATAGGGCCTAATGCATGTTTGGAGGCTAACTTTGACTACATGTTACAGCAATAATATATGACATGCAAGTTACACAAAGCACACCATCAAATTCGTACGTGAAATGAACTTCTAATGATATAATTTTTATATTATACATCTCATATATTGTTAATCTTATCAATAGTCAAAGGCAATCTAAAAAAATGCATTAGGCCCTATATATATGGAAGGAGGAAGTACACGAGTGAACCAATCACTTGAGAGTGTCTCAATTGATCTATAGCTATGCCTTCGAACTTTCGAATCCACATGAGGATCATATGATTTTGTAGAAGGTTTGCAGTTCGAATATCCAAAACGACTCAAAATCTTCTCAACATAGTGGGATTGAAGAAGTGTAATTCCACCCTTATTATCTCTCAGTAGCTTGATGTTCAAGATAACATCAGCCACCCATAGGTCTTTCATCTCAAAGTTATGAGATAGAAAAGCCTTGGCCTCCTCAATTACTTTGAGGTTGGTCCCAAACATGAGTATGTCATCGACATACAGACACACTGTAACTCCTTAGCCCCCACCATGGCGATAGTATATACATTTTTCAGCTTCATTAACAACAAAGTCAGCAGATGTCAAAGTTTTATCAAACTTCACATGTCATTGCTTAGGCGCTTCTTTCAGGTCATATAAAGATTTCAATAGCTTGCATACCTTTGTTTCCTGACCATTTACTACAAAGTCATCTGGTTGTTGCATGTAAATTTCCTCGTCTAGCTCTCCGTTAAAGAAAGTCATCTTAACGTCCATCTGATGAACAAGAAGAGCATATGAGGCAGCAAATGAGAGTAACACTCGAATGGTTGTCAGCCTAGTCATAGGTGAGTAAGTATCGAAGAAATCTTCTTCTTTTTGGGTATAACACTTGGCCACAAGCCTAACCTTGTACTTCTTAACAGTACCAACGGGCCTAAGCTTTTTTTTGAACACCCACTTACATCCCAATGGTTGGCAATCATAAGGACGACCATTGATCTCCCATGTCTCGTTAGCTAAGATGGAATCCACCTTGCTACGGACCCCATCCTTCCAGTAGTCAACATCCGGTAATGCATAGGCTTCTGAAATGGAACTAGGAGTGTCATACACGAGGTACATGAGGAAATTGTCACCAAAGGACTTTGCAGCCCTTTGTCTCTTGCTCCTAATA